GCAATAAAACGTATTTGTTGTCTCACATAGAGTAACTTCCGTGAATGTCACTCACAAACATTACTAGGCAACCAGTAGTGGGGAACGCCCCAGCGCAGCCACAGGCGACCTGCAGCGACAAAGTCGCGTGTAGTGTGAACGGGGCTTTATACCGTCTATGTTTAAGAGTCACGTGTCTCCACCTACTGGTGTAATGATGTAATCGATAGTTATTTAAAGGGCCATGTTACTTTCAAAAGGTGATTTGCTCTATTTGGATCGCTACTATACATCAGTGTTTATATCTGAACTAGAAACTTTTATTTGTGACAATACAAACTTTTATTTGTGACACTCTATGGTTGAAAAGACTCTCTCTGGCTTAGATCCAACACAGATCTGAATGTTCACTACATCAGTTAGTTTTTGATGAGTTTGCTCTAGTAAACTAATCATGTAATGAATGTCATTTCTGCTCTACTTTCCGTGCATGAATTATCATGTGAAGTAAGAGACGGAACGATATAAATGTAAACGCTGTAAAAGGTTTTCCCACAAACTCAACTCCGTCACGCTATCACGAGAAATATCGTCCCGCTTTAATATCGCGAGATGTCGTCACACCCCAACTGAAAATACAATTACCTGTCAATAATTAAATAAAATATTAAATAAAATTATGCCCTAAATTAAATCCGCTTATTTATTATTACCTTTCAAAAATTAAATAAATAAGATATTTTATTTTGAAAGGAAAGATTTATGGGTATCTTATTTTTAAAGTAGTATATTGAAGTAGAATTCAGTCATAATTTACTCCCACTCTAAACCTACAGTTTATGGATTTATTTCTTCTATAGAAACATTTAATAATAAAATAACACAAAATAAAATTGAATAAAAAATAAAATCCTCTTAAATAGTATTACTCTTCAGGTGATAATTTAAGGGGATTTTATTTTTTAATTTAACTTATTTTTGTGTGTTATTTATTTAGATTCATTTAAGAAAGTTGATGATATTTAAGGTGATTTTATTTCCATTTTATTAATTTTTTTAAAGATATATTTTTTTCAGTAATATTTTTTTCAAAAAAAAAAAAAAAAAGAATAAAATCCCTTAAAAAAAATAGAATAAACTAAAAGAAAATAATATGGTAGAAATATTTTGAAATAGTATATTTAAGTAGAACTTGGTCATCATTTACTCACACTTCAGGAGAACATTTAAGGTGAGCGTCCGGCGTCTCAAACACATTCATGACACACTATTCATGGTGGTGATGTTATTGACCAGGCTGTGGAGACACTTAACTGTACATGAGAAACAGCATCGGGATTGAAACTGCGGATACAGTCGTGGTGTGAGTGTGTGTGTGTTTTACTCCTCTAGGGCCTCCAGGAAATCGGCCACGGACTCCACCACGTAATCGGGCACGCAGTCCTTCTTCCCCGGCTCCTCGCTGTCCCTGTACCGGTGCGCCTCCTCCAGCGTGGAGACGCCCGTGAGCGTGAGGACGGTGGAAAGCCCACAGTTGCTGCCGAACAGAATATCCGTCTCCAAGCGGTCGCCGACCATCAGCGAGCGATCCGGATCCAGGTCAAACTGACTGGCGATGCACTCGTACATGAAGCGGCTGGGCTTCCCGATGACCGTGGCCTTCCTGCTGCTGGCTGTCTCCAGAGCCGCCGTGAGACTCCCGGAACCTGCCGGCACATCACACACACACACTGCTGTTGTAGATCACTGAATCACCAGCACAATGACACACTTCTAGAGGCATGTACAGCTCTGTTCAAGCTCAATCACACTAGATGCGCACATGTTCTCTTCTCAACAGGTTGTTTCATCACATTTAAAAGAAAGAAAAACTAGGAAAGTTATTTTCAGGTTTCCACACTTTCTGACCAAAAGATTTCCCTGGTTTTTCCAATGACTTTTCCAGTAGTTATGACTGATTAATGACTTGTTTCATGCAAGTCTTTATAATAAGCAGACCCTTGGAACGGATTTCTATCATTTTGCATATTTTTTAGGTTTTACAGGACTGTGAGAACCTAATATTTGCTTGGAGATTATGTGCATCCCTTGTGTATTTTCATTATAATTAAGCACATTTACACCTATAACTATTATAATTTAAATTAAGCCTTTAATTTATGCTGATTAAAAAAACTAGGGCAGTCAAACGATTAATCACAGCCGAAATAAAAGTCTGTGTTTACATTATATATGTAGGTGCACTGTATAGTTATTTTGCGTACATACATATATATATATATATATATATATATATATAAAAATACACACACACACTGTAAATGATTTCTGTTGTTTTCACAGGATTATACTGTTTTTCTCAACAGTTTCTTACTGTATAATCTATGTACAGTAAGTTACAGTAGATTTAGTTGTTTTCACAGTATTAAATTGTTTTTTCAACAGTTATGTACTGTGCACACAGCTGACAGTATGTTACTGTAGAATTGCAATGCATTCTGGGAAATTATCAGTTACTGTTAATCTAAATACAGCAGTGCAATTGACCGCGAAAAACACCACACACAGTTCCACGTGTAAAATTGCTAGCCTACTAATGTTATTCTTACATTTAAAATAAAAATGTAGCACTGGTTGACCATTAACAGTCATAATTTATGACATAATTTATGTCAGTGGGGTGTGCATGAGAGCATATTTGACTTTGGAAGAGTTTCTCTGTCGTGTCAGTGGTGCTGCTGTCTTTTCTGCCGACCTGCAACTTCTTCATCTGGTAAGTAATAATTCTTATAATGTGTATGCAAACGGATTCTAGCTAATAACTTTAAAGTTATTTAGAATAACTGACCACGATTTCTATATTCAATTTAATATATTCTAGACATTTTAATATAATATGTATATGATAGGCTACTCTTCAATGTAGCCATTTGGGATATTACTGTAAATTCAAATACATTAGTACGAAATGACCGCGAAAAATAACCACAACAAGCTGCCATTTTATGAAGAACTCTTCAGTTCCCTTCCCTCGTAAGAACACGCAGGCCGTGCATCGCGTCGCTGTCGGTCGGCAACGTTTTCGCCATACATCTGGTTAGTAATTCATATTTTTATGCAAACCATATGAGTTACTTACGTTAACGTTAGAAAGAAGTGGCCGCGGAATGTTCTACGTATGTATAAGTCAGACGCGGATTTCTTTTATGTTGATAGCCTTACTTGATTAAATGTGATTTTATTGACATATATTTCATATGTAACCTCTTATACGGTCAAAATGGTCTAATCATTTTGTTATTTACCACGTTAAGTCGGTGGAAGCGCCTGCACGTTCATTATTTTATGACTTACAGGGGTTAGGAATTGCTAATCGATAAATGTATCCTGAAATCGGACATCCAAGGTTAGGATTCGGGTTTATTGGTATAAAATTAAAGTGCCGATTCCTCTTATTGATTTTTTCACGCTTATTTTCGTGTAAATCCTGACCTGGCGTTCTGCCATTATAACGTTACCTCAGTGATAAAGTTGGACCGCGGAAAGCGCCCAAGGTGTATTTTTGTCCAAAATACAAAGCTATGTGTGACATTTACAGTATTTGTTGTGGTCTTTGTTAATCTTTGGTTATCATTAACGACACATACACGAGGGAGTTAGCCTGGTGTTGAACACTTTACTAGCGAACTTAGAATCAACAACAACAAAAAAAAAAAAAACCCGGGTCATACCAACTACACAAACTGCCTGGGGGTGTTCCGGTAGGAACCATTCACTGCATATACTACAGTATTGTCGGCTATAATATCATTTTTTTTTTTTTTTTTTTTTTTTTACTATGTGTAAACTGACATGTACTCATTTGAAGGGAACGATGCCTTGTCAATCTTTTTAAGTCATGTAACTTAGTATCACACAAGCAAGATTTAGCCTACGTTTTCACGTGATCGTAAATGAATTGATTTTAAACAACAGTCCAATAAACAAGATTTTAGTATTAAGTGAATTACACTTTAGACATCATTTTGTCTGTTTTTGCTGTTTAGCCAAAACAACAACAAAAACGTACTATATTTTAACTGTCTTGTCTGTTCTCCTTTTCCACAGGTGTGAGCTGTGCATGTTAAGAAGACCCCTATCCATCTTGACGACCGATGAATTGTAAATCTAATCTAATTTAATTATTCTATTTATCTAACTACTACTACTATACCTTGGTCCAGTACTGACCCACTGAGAACATTTTAAACAGATTATTATCCATCTGTGAATTTTGTCTATCTGCAAGTTGTTTAGAATTGTTGTGTGAAAATAAACGTTACTGTACAGTTTAAGGTTTAATTGCATAAAAGCTTGGATAGAAAACTTCCTATTGCAAAAGTTAGAACATAAGTCTGCATATAAATAATTATTGATACAGTAATGCAAGTTTTTCATGGCACATGTGCATGATGAGGTTGTTTTGTGTTTATTTTTTTTTTTTTAAAGGACACTGGATAACTTGTCATTTTGTTATACTCATCTGGATTGGTGGTTTACTCGTCAAAGCTTTTATAGTTTATAAGTTTATATGTGTCTCCCAGCCCTGCAAATCTGGTCCCTTAGATAGAAAGCAGCCAAAAACCATTTAAAATCAGCAACTGACCTGTTAGACAGTCTATCTCAAACCAATAGACAATCTTAGACTAGTTTAAGCTGTTTTACCCCAGCAGGGAGTGGGTGGATGAGTTGTTATGAACTATCTTTCTAATAGATTGATCAGATAGCACCCCTTTAATCTTTTCTATTTTACCTGTTCATGATAATTTTTGCATGTATTTATGCATAATTGTTCATGATTGTCATGCATGATTTTTATTGTATTATATTACATTTTTATTATTAATGTATTTAATTGTATTAATGTATTTAAATGTATATTATGTAAATGTACTAATGTGTTTGAAAATACACAATAAACCTTGTGCAGTTAAAGCTTCAATTGTTCTTTTTTCTATTTCCCATTAACAGTTAAAATAATATTTCTACGGATTTTCTACAGGTTACACAGTAGCACTATAAAATAAATACAATAACATTTCATACTATACAGTATTATTAAAAATTAACAGTGTAATTCTGTACTTTAATATGGTAAGAAATTACAGTAAAATAATGTTATTTAATTTGCAGTATGCTTAACAGTACTGTAGTTAGTGTTACGGTAATTTTACTGTTAAATGAAATACAGCAAGTACTGGATAATTGTTGCCAGTAAGTTACTGTTAATTTGACAAGAAATTTTTTACAGTGCATGTTTGTATTTATTAAAAAAATATTATCATGTATATACTGTAAATAGATTTATATATAATTTATATTATATATAAATATTTTATATATATAAAAATATTTTTTTTAAATAAACATGCATGTGTGTGTATTTATATACAAAATAATTATACATACACAGTGCACCCACATATTTTATGTAAACACAAACTTTTATTTCGGCTGCGATTAATCAGGATTAATCCTTTGACAGCCCTAAAAAACATTATTATTAATAATAATATTTCTTAATTGCATTAAAGGAATGAGACTATGGAAAATGTGTTTAAAATCTTGGTTCAAATAGACTAATTACTGTCTCATACACAATATAAAATGAATGTACACACACGTTATGTATATATAATTGGTAGCAGTGTGTATCTAGCTCCTTAACTTTTCCACTTGTGGTTTTTGAGGTGAAATGTGACCTGAAATACACTGAAACTTTGAATCATTTTTTTTTTTTAAATCATATAAATCTGCATATGAGCTGAACATCCCAAAGTACCCCTCCTCAACGCCTCACCCGGGGTGATCCTGCCTCCTCTCAGCGGGTGCCAGGGGTCCGGGTCGGTGGCCAGGAACAGGCACTCAGAGTTCATCAGGTAACAGCTAGCTTTGGCCAGCTTCATGAAGGTGAAGTTCTCGTCATATCCGACCAGCACAGCCTTGACATCCGGATCCAGGGGGCAGTTGTAGATGCTGGTTCCCGGCTCCCGGTCTGCGGCTTCATCCTCCTCCAGCACCGGGACCCCGGCGTCCTGCAGCTCCTTCATCACCCCGCCGCAGCCGATCACGAACACCTTCCCCTGGAGCCGGGCCACATCGCGCAGGTACGCGGCGGAGCAGTACGCCGAGCTGAAGATCTCCTCCTCCGCGATGTCCGTGAAGCCCAGGCGGCTAAACTTCTGCACGTAGTTCTCCCGCGGCCTGGTGCAGTTGTTAGTGACGAAGAACACCCGTTTTCCCCGCTGCTTGAGCAGACTGACCACCTCCGGAGCCCCGGTAACGGCCGCTTCCCCGTTCCAGATCACGCCGTCGCAGTCGAACAGCACGTTGTGCTTCGAGTCCAGCAAGTCTCGGATCTGAGCGCCGCGGAGCGTCACACAACCCTTGCCGCCACCCACGGCACCTGCCATTCTGCTGGCTAGAGTTCCTATGATGGAAAGCTTTAAACTACGACCGTTTTATTTAAACGCGCTGATGACTCTGTACGTTAACCGTTTAGTGAAATGAACGCAGGACCGAAGCGGAGCGGTTCACCAGCACGTCCATCTCTGCTGTTCCTGCAGACGCCTGATGACGGACCAATCACGTTCTAGTCTGTCGGAGAGGATACGCCCCTTCCCTATGTGTCCTCTAATCAGAAAGCGAGCAGCAGCACGATGATTGAAGTGGGCGGAGCTTAGTGACCCAGAGGTTATCTCTAATTGGTCAGGTACAATGGGTCTAGTTAATCATTTTTCTTCATTTACAGCTTTGCTGCATTTTTTGTTTATTGGTTCATTTTTAAAATGGGGACCGTACAAAAAAAACATGATTTAAGCCAAAGACCAACCCTACCAATTACAAACCCTGTTTACATTAGGTTAACACTTTTAAATAATACTTTGAACCCTGGCAACATATAGAAATTATAGTTTTTCTCGATTGTTTACACACATTTTCTGAAAGCATGCCTCATTATCTCCGAACTCTACACACAAATCAAAAAACACACACAATGGGCAAAATCCCTTCTGAAAATGGTATTTCTAATGACACAGAAGAATTTACTGTATACAATTACAGTAAAAAATAAAAATAAAATAATAAAAATGCTGCCCGAAACAGGCAGAGAATTGTGTGTAGTGTTTTGAAAAAGTGTGTTTTAGAACTGCAATTTGAGTGTAAAGCAGGAACTGTGCTCGTAGTTTAGCAGAATGGTTCAGGCGGTTGGTGCATGAGTTACATGTTGTGGTCCTTGTGTCTCTAGCGCCAGTATTTGTGTGTAAACAATGGAGGAAAAACTGTAATATAGCCTACATGACACATACATACAGCACCGGTACAATTTTGAAAGACAAAAAATCATCAAGCCGCCATTTATTTGATCAGAAATACAAAAAAAACCCAATAATACTGTGAAAAAATTATTACAATTCAAAATAACGTTTTTTTTTTCATTTTAATAGGCTATACTTTAAAATATAACTTATTTCTGTGACACAAAGCTGAATTTTCAGCGTAATTACACCAGTCTTCAGTGTCACATGATCTTTTAGAAAATAATTACTGATTCCAAGCTTTTAAACATTAGTGTGTATTGTTACAAAATCTTTGTATTTTAAATAAATGCTGTTCTATTGTAACTTTGTATTCAGCAAAGAATTCTGAAAAAAAGTATTACAGGTTATAAAAAATATTAAGCAGCACTACTCTTTCCAACATTCATAATAAATCAACATATTAGAGTGATTTCTGAAGGATCATGTGACACTGAAGACTGGAGTAATGACGCTGAAAATTCAGCTTTGATCACAGGAATAAATTACACTTTGAAATATATTCAAACAGAAATTTTTAATTGTTAATAATATTTCACAATATTACTGTTTGGTTTGTGTTTTTAATCAAATAAATTCAGCCTTGATGAGCAGAAGAGACTTCTTTAAAAACATTACACATCTTACAGATCCCAAACTTTTGAACAGCAGTTAGTAGTGTATGTACAGTATGACTGTGTGTGTGTGTGTGTGTGTGTGTGTGTGTGTGTGTAAAAAAAATCTCCAGAGCGTCTTAAAATTTAACTACATATGTCCTGGAGTTTGCCCTCTCATAGTTGCACTAGTAAGATAACTTGTGTCGTTACAGAGAGTGACTGATCAAGAGAGATGGTATTATATTATGTATAATTCTAAAGCATGTCGAATAAGTGAACATGTGACATTTAAGAGTTCAAATACATTTAACATTTTATTTTATTTTTGTATAGGTCTCCGAAATGCTAGGTGGCGGTCATGTATTATACCGTGGAGAGATCCGATTCATTTTTGGCGAATCCGTTCGTTTCAGTGAACCATTTCAGAGAAGTCCCGGGGCCGGGGTAGTATTTTTCTTATTTCAGAGAAGAAATACCACGGCTTATCGCCATATTCTTAAATACTTGATACTGATTATGTATGAATGAAGTGTTCTCCAGACTCCATAAGAGTCTAGCAATTTACAGGCGCTTTGTGAATCGGTTCAACTGAATCATCAATGAACGACTCATTGGTGAATCGATTCGGACCTCACTAGTGCAGCAACACGAGACGAGCTAAAGCTGCTTGAAAGCTACTGCACATGTACTCTGATGTAAACAAGAAATATGATTAAAGCTCTTTTTAAAGCTTTTGAGGTCCGATGGAAATCCTACAGGCACAGATTTGTCCCCTGGATAGCTTTAAATCTGCAGAAAAACGAGAGGTATAGTTCAGTTTGTTCTCTGCTTCAGGTTTGGTCAACAACAACAACAGCCTTGTTCACTATTACCGCGTGTTTGTTATTCTCCCAGAACTCTCCGTCACGTGAAGGATCGATCCCAAGACAAGTTAACTCAGGATGAGGAGGTGTCCGAATCTCTCGTGTGTTTATTCACTGAACTACTGAAAAATGATCTGAAGAATCAACGTGAACTGATCCGCTTACTCCCTAAATCTAAACAAAACATTTACACTAATGTAACGTTACAGAGTGAAACGCATGATGCTCCCTGTACAGTGATGTTGAATACTCTGGGCTTCGTGACCGAGCGGAAGTGCAGCTCACTACAGCTCGCGGGGACAGGGGTGTTTGTCACGCGCGGGCGCGTGCAGAAAGGAAGTATCGTGGCGATGTATCCAGGTAGTCCTTATATGAGGTCATGTGTCAATGTAACACTTCAGTTCGGGAACATTCCAGACAGCCTATTTAAATAATAACAAAAAACATGACGACATTCCAGTTTTTTTGTTTTTTGTTTATTTGTTTGCTTAAAAAATACCTTTAACTTTTTTTAACAGAAAAAGTATGTGTATATATATGTAAATTAAATAAATTAAAATAGATGTGTTTTTAAATCTGAATTCGTGAAAATATATATTTTTTTGTAATGGTTAATAAATGATTTCTCTTTTCATATATATATATATATATATATATATATATATATATATATATGATATTCCCTTTACAGTTTAATACCTATGATCGTGTCTTATAAAGTCATATTATTCTAGTTCTGTCCTGCAGCTTTCCTGTTATTAATATTTGAATGTATTATAATCCTATAATTTACTTCTGTCTGTTCTGATAATGATTTTATGGAATTATTTATATTGGTCTGTTGCATAAGGAATTCTTCATAAGAGTTATGTCTTGATGTTCTTTTACAGGAACCATCTATCAGGCAGATGAGCCGATCTTCTTTCAGTCGATCAGAAATCCATTTGTGTTCAGATGCATAGATGGCATTTTAATTGATGGCAATGACAAAGCCATGTCCAAGATAGTGTACCGGTGAGCATCATCATCCTGCTAGCTTAAAGGGCGATGTTTGCATGATTAGCTGAATTAGCATAATAGGAATTATGGGAATTATCCCATTTAATGCCTTCATTCACAGTGCATTAAAGTGCAAAACATAAAGACACAAATGAAATGTTGACTGATGGAAACAGGTCGTGTAGTGGACGGGACAGGTTGGGTCCCTTCCGTTTGAGTGACAGCTCCTGGTTAACTCCTCATCCCGTGAACCCTCTTGCAGTGGGACAGTATGTGAACAACTGCTCTAACGGTCAGACAGGTTAAACAATCAAAGGTTGACTGTCCACAGTCATAGAAGAAAACACCTCTGAGAAGAATCTTGTCTTGTTATCCACAGAGAAAGCTGCGAATGTCTGCTATCAGGAGTTTGACGTGCCGGATGGGTTTCCTCTGGAGCTCTGTCAGTTCCTGCCGAATGTTAAATACAGAGCTGATTCTCAAAGGCAAGACCAAACATTTCATGACCTGTGTTATTAGGACATTCTGACATTTTCTGAAAATCTCATCTTTCTTTTTCAGACCTTTGCGCTGTGTTGTTCTCGTGTCACTAAGAGATATTGATCGCGGTGAAGAACTGTTCTCCAACTACTACACAATTGTGCAATAAATTAAGTTGATTTTTCTAAAGAAAAAGTGTGTTATACTCATTGGATAACATGAACTGAGAAACATTTTTACTGCATTTACTAAACTTGGTTAATGTTAATAAGAAACATTAAGGAATTTTTGACCAGGATCAGAAAACAATCAGGATTTTTTTTTAATCTGCACCTTAATTAATAGTTGCTATTTCACGTCATAATATGGTATTCTCTAGACAATTCAGTGACAATAACTTGTGTTAAAAAATTGTGTTTTATACATTACCAAAAAGCCCCTGAAATAAATTCCAGGGCAAAAATATCCACTTTTAAAAAGTAGCGATTCAGTTTTGAAAAAGTATCGATTCACTTTCGAAAAAGTAGTGATTCCTTTTTTTTTAATTAGCCATTCTTTTTTGATAAAGAAGCGATTTAACTGAATCTGTACAACAGCTACGTTTAATTCTGAATATTATATTTTATTCTGGTGTGCTTAACGTTATCGTTTTCTTAGAGTTTACTTATAAAAATAACATAAAAAGTTTGCACATGCATAATGTTAATTTGCACGTCAAATCGATATTAATTCGAGATTAAAAAATATACAGGACACACACACGTATAATATACAGTATAAAAATAACGTACACAGACACATACATCTATCTATAAATTACAGAAACGTCTATCTGTGTGTTATTCACATATCTTGGTAAAAGAAGCACTTGTTGGAGATGTTTTGATGACGTGTAGAAGGTTGTAGTTTAAAAATAAACATTCTGACATTAAAGGGTTGTGGTTTAAATGGTGGTGGTTTGAATATTGAAAATATAGAATATTGAATATTCTGCTCCCTGAATCGTCGCGCTTATTCACTTGTGGATGTTAACTGAGTTAATTTTTGAAAAAGTATCAATTCATTTTCACAAATGTAGCGATTCAATTGACAAAATAGCAATTCTTTTTCTAAAAAGTATTGATTCACTTTTGAAAAAGTAGCGATTCATTTTTGAAAAAGTACAGATTCACTTTCAAAAAAGTAGTGAATCTTTTTGAAAAGATAGCGATTCACTTTTGAAAAAGTAGTGATTCACTTCAGAAAAAGTTGTGATTCTTTTAAAAGTAGCGATTCACTTTCAAAAAAGTAGTGATTCTTTTAAAAGTAGCGATTCATTTTTGAAGAAGTATCGATTCACTTTCAAAAAAGTAGTGATTCTTTTTTGAAAAGGTAGCGATTCACTTTTGAAAAAGTAGCGATTCACTTTCAAAAAATTAGTGATTCTATTAAAAGTAGCGATTCATTTTTGAAAAAGTATAGATTCTCTTTCGAAAAAGTAGTAATTCTTTTTTGAAAAGGTAGTGATTCACTTTTGAAAAAGTAATGATTCTTTTTTGAAAAGGAAGTGATTCACTTTCGAAAAAGTAGTGATTCTTTTAAAAGTAGCGAGTCACTTTCGAAAAAGTACTGTTTCCTTATTTTATTTTTTTTAAGTAGCCATTCTTTTTTGAAAAAGTAGCGATTTAATCTGTAAGTCAGCTACATGATTTAATTCTGAATATTATATTTTATTTTGGTGCGCTTAACGTTATCGTTTAGGCTCCTGTGTAATAGTAGCCTAGGCTTTTCAGCAGCTCAAACATACCAAACCAACAATTACTAAAAACACACAAAAACTGATTTTACACGGGCATTGCACTGGTATCTTAAACACTCAAACTCCCTCTACAGAGGACTAAAATCAAAGCGGTTCAAACTAAACCACGTGCCAATAATGACCAAGGCATCAGATTAGAGCGACACGTGTGAAGTACTGCGATAAACTCATCGACACCGTTATAATATCTCCAGAACTTTATTTCTGGAATGGTTTGCCAGTTAAGTACAACATAAAATACAAAATAAAAACCAACAAAACAAGAACAGTGTCTATGTACAAACATTAAGAATGATAAAATGTCCTTTTTCCAATATTAATTACCATTTGATTGTCTATTTAACACTATAACTTTATTACAACAAAGTGTTGAAAAACCGAACTTTAACTAATAGCTCCCCCCCTTTCAAAAGCAGAAAAGTGAATGAAAACCAATTGTATATCAAACAAAATAAAGCGTAAAACATTCCAAAGGGAAGGTTTTTTAAAAATGTACACATTTTTTTCCCTGGAAGCAAACAACCATTACTACGGAACAATTTCAATTAAGCCATTACTTTTTTTCATACAAACTTTGGACATAAATTACTGCACCAACACGTTTTCCTAAAGCTCTTTTCATTTCTTGGAGGGACAGGAGAAATTAATTGCACAACCTACAGGATTGAATTGGAGAATATTGTATTAAATGTATTTAAATTGTTCAATACACATCCTTCAAGTATGTCAAGACAAAAAAAAATATGAAGAACTCTGTCCGCAGATACGAGGAAACACAATTTTACAGACGAAGCACAAGCCGTCCTGGAAAACAGCCCGAAACCCTTCGCTCGTCGTTCGGGAACGTTTTCCAGGTCGGTTCAACATGCAAGTTTCGAATGAGGGTTAAGGCAACACTGCAAACCGGGCTCCTGCCTTAACCGCGAGACATTCTTGTCATCGTACGAGTTCAGTAAATCCCTAAGATGCGATAATACTGTACATTCAGCTAGCTCCGCGACTCTCGGCGAGGAGCACAGAACGCTAACACATCGCACCCACTTGCAGTTAAGTGAATAAATAAATAAATAACTCTCTTCTTAAGCAAATCTCTGCTGAGGAAACAAACGGTAAAGGAAGTCGAGAAGGCATTCTTGTGGCATACGCAGACTCAAAAGTCTTCAAGTTCAAATCTGTTTGCCAAGGAAGAAATAAAACGGGTATCTGTACATATTTACAAATTATTGCCATATACGAGAGCATGTAAAGTCAAACTCAAAAATCTGGAGGTCAGCGGGGCGACAAAAATCGAACAAACCAAGTCCGTTTAATCTGCAAGCGGTTCTTGATGCATAGATAACGTCGGGTCAGTGCTTGCAGGCCTTCGCGAAGATCAGGCTGTTCTGAAGGAACGCACGCAGTGAAAGCAGGGGCGATGAACACAAATCATGTACAACTTTGCATAATTGGTTACTGAAGGGAATTGGTTTCCCGCGGTGAGAAGTTCGAGAGTATCCCTGCAAACGTTTTTTTTTTTTCTTCAATAAATAGCGCTCTTGAAATATCAAACAAATGCGCTTGTACACATTCGAGAACGAGAAAGGAAACAAAACCACATGTGCCAGTAATATTCTGGGAAACAAAAAAGCTCAATCGTGACCATAATGCAGTCCAGTGGTCTTCATTGCAATAAATAACTGATCAAACGCCACCTGATAAAGCAAAATTACAAAAGAAACGAATAAATATGCAAAAATGTCAAAGCAGTGTTTTCGAATTATAATACCTCCATAATCATTTAGGACCTATATATTTGCTAGAACCACTTTAAATTGTTCGTCGGTTTGTTTGCAGTCCGTCAAAAGAGCAGAGAATCTCCCAGGGCCGTCCGGAACGCGCCACCACAAACTTTTCCGGGGTTTTTGTGCTGAGCGGAAAGGACACCAAAATAAACAGAGCTGCTTCTTCAAAGTGGTCGTAGAGTCTCGGTGAGCCGAGGCACCTGTAAACACTGATGAGGAAAGGCTGTCGGCCCAAGGTGGGATCGATCAGTTTTGGATGCGACGACTCCTGTCACACACAAGTTCAGTTTTCCACAGTATTCGGACACGTTTTATGACACTTCCAAAAATTCAAGACTGGAAAATAAATGGCTGTATTAACTCTTGAGAAATCAAGATTCAGGTCTGTACAATTAGACATCACTGATGTCATAGTAAAAAAAAAACAAATCTGTACATATATATACACACGTATATAACCTGGAAACAAAATAAACCAATTAGGAGGAGGAATTTCCCAGGAAGCGGCTATATACACTACGTCTGATTGCAGTAAGTCCCGTGAGGTTCGCGAGCCTTCACTCCGACTGCAGCGTCGTGTGCTGATGTAGTGTGTGTGCGCCCATGTAGCTGCCGGCCTCGCCAAAGTCACTGACCGAAACCGCCATTTTGGCACTTGTGATGTGACGCGTGCGGCCCTCGAAGTCCACGGCCATGTTCCTGCTGCCGACCGACACGTCGTTCATGAACGGTTCCGACAGACCCATCTTCAGGCGTTTGGCCGCGGGCCGATCGCAGTCCTCGCCGCACACGTTGATCTGGCCGAGGTCCGAGTGGTAGAAGCCGGTTTCCAGCAGATTGAGGCAGTCGCCGTCTCCGTTGCTGGAGTAGTTGAGCGGCTCTTCGTGACTCAGGGGCCCGCGGTGCAGCCCGTCCAGCGGAGAGAAGTTGTAGGAGTCCAGACAGCTCACGTCTGAGGGGTTACACACCGACGCCACCGTGCTCGTCAGCGCTGGAAAATAACGGAGGAAATCCGTTATTTTAAGCATTGTTGTGTAGCTGAGAGGTAATCTCGTATTCTCACCAAGCCTGTATTTAGTTAAACTGTCGATTATTACAATTTAAAGGGTTACTAATATGTTTTTTTAATGTGTAATGATCTGTACAGCACTTTGATCAACCTTGGGTTGTTTTTAAATGTGCTTCATAAATAAAAGAAAAATGAATGAATGATGCAGTTTGAGTATGAAAAGCGGGAGTTCTTCTCTATATCAGTGTCGGTGTTTCTGAACTCCTGAAACGCCTCCACTGTAGTCTTGAGTTTCTTCAGGGAACGAACACGTCACAATCATAGATATGTATATAAAGGCTAGATGTGTTACGGCGGAGTTTCCATCGTCATCAACGGCGGCCATCTTGTCACAGACAAGCTGATGTAAGATGAGTGGTCAGCACGAACACAAATACTCTTATCTCGTTGAAATCTTGACGGATTTACAAACGGTTTGGTTTCTTACAAACGTTATTAACGTGGCTATAATTATATGGATGATAATTTTTTTATACACTTTTTATTCATAAGTGTACAGTGTCATAACTACAGCTCTGACGATTATAACAAAACAAACTCGGTAGAAAATTGAGCAAGTTATGGTCATTTAAATAGTACATGTACCATTAACACAATGTTACGAGTGAGCGAGCTGCCTGTGACAAGATAAACATATCTAGCCTTTATATACATATCTATGGTCACATTATTCCTCATTTAAATAATTTGTATGCAGAATAAAGGGGCGGGGCCTGGTTGAGTGAGTTAGTAGTGTGTTGAAACTCACTGTTATGGTAAGGGGCGGGACATTTCCCAAACACACTCAAAACGGTCGACCAATCACAACACACTGCTCCAACCGACCAATCAGAGCACAGTGTGCTTTTCAGAAGGAGGGGCTTCATAGAGACAGGAACTAAACAGAGCATTAATGAGAGACTGGGAAGAGAGGAGCTGCAACTGTCAAGTATGGGAAAAAATTGTTTTTTTGAAAATTCAAACATTAAAATCTGTTCTAGTAGAGCCCAAAAACAATCAAGGGCATTTTCTATATGAATATGTTTAAAATGTGATTTATTCCTGCGATTCCTCTCACATGAACCTTCAGAAATCATTTGCTGCTTAAGAAATATTTCTGATGTTATCAATGTTGTGCTGCTATATATTTTTGTGTGGAAACTGCCACGGCTTATAATCTCAAAATGGATGATAAATGACTAAATGGATGTCTAAAACTGTTATAATTTGTTGCCATACCAGAGAGGTCACTGGCTGTGATGGAGTTGAGAAGGTTGAGTTGTTGTTCAGTTGGAGGCTCAATCCTGCCGCTGCTACTGGAACACACAGAAGCCGATCCGTCCACCAGACCCTCGGCCTCATCCACCAACCGGTCCATCAGATCCCTGCAGGAGGGAGAGAACAATCAGCCTTCAACATCTACATTTAATCATTTAGCTTTTACCAAAACAACTTACAAATGAGGAGAGCAACAGAAGCAATTAAACTAATAGGACAACAATATGCAAGTGCTGTGACCTGAACTTCAAAGTTCATAAGCACGAGCCAGATTTAATCGCACTCAACAGAAGATCATTACAGAACTCACGTAACACCAGGATAACTGCTGAACTTCTTCTTCCCAAATCGGTTTTGCTGGACGAAAAAGTCAAATCGCTCTGACTTCTTCCACATGTAGTAAAACGCAACACACTCTGCCACCGTCCGTGTGTTGACCTTGAAAATAAACATTCAAACAAAAGTTACCACATAACATAATAATCAAGGATCACTTAAGATGCAAAACGTTTCACGAGTACTCAATTCAATTGCGTTATAGCCTGACATTTTTTTTAACCAATCAAATCCTAAAGGATAAATCAAGCCCCATCCTATAATATAATAACACAGAATATTTATAATTCAACACCGGAATATTCATAAAACTTTAATTTAATACGAAAACGAAATAGAAATGTGTACATACAATATGTTAATTTCATGTGTTTTAATATGAGTGGCATCTGGTTTATTTAAATCCTTCCTCAAATTTAAACATCTAAGACAACATCGTTAGGATTAAAAACGCAGGACAAAAAAGACGCCATCTTACTTTGTGTTTCTGAATGAGGAAGAAGTTCTTCTCATACAACAGAAGAGCGTGCTCAAAATTTCGGCATTCTTCTTCCGACCACGGGAGCATCTCATCTAAATGAGTAGATTTTTAAAATCATTTTTTTATTTAGTTCAACAACACTGCGATAACAAAACAACGGCATTATTTCCACTTACCCTTTAAGGATTTGTCATTGTTGCGATACCGTTCCAGAGCTTCCTGGACGTTGTAGTTACATTTCAAAAGCTCATATAAGGCCTGGAGAGAACAAACAGGTTTGTTAAGAAAAATGGATAATGTCCTAATGTAAAAATAAGGCTTAGAAAAACAATATAGTGTCTACTACAGTAAGCCAATCAACAGATGCTTTTTAAATGACTTATCCTCAATCATATTAACAGCCTTCAACAGGACGTAGCCTAAAAATTAAAGCAATGCAAAGAAAAGCATTTCTATGGCCATAGATATTATATGGACAAGATCCCCACAATATTCACATTAGTGCTCAACTTATTTGTGTGGTTACATCCCTATAAAGCCTGATATGCAAATATCTAAGATCTCAAAATTATCAACATGACCATTTCTATAGGCAGATATATATTAATATGCATTTGAAGTAACTAGTTATATACGGTTATAAAGATCTCATTGAAGTCTTAATTATCTATATAAAAATAAGCATCTGCACAGCACTGTTCAGTCAGATCTATTTAGTGGTGGGGTGGGCGATATGAGCAGAAATTCATATCACGATGTTTTTCACTGTCAGGACGATTTTGCAATATGAGAAAAACAAATTGGAAACAGTTCTTAGTACACGGTTAAAATACATATTTTGCCTGTAATTTAACTATGTAAATAGAAAAAGTTATAAAGGATTTACTTTGGACATATACCTGAAAATATACTGTCACATTGTTTTTCTCAAGAAGTGCAAACATGCAAAATGAGGTAGGCATGAATTCACATGCTATCTCTTTCCACTTTTTATTTTGGAGGTCAAAATAATTCCTTTGTTAATAATTCATAAGATGAGCAACACTGGAGTTTGGTTTATTGAACACGTTATAATCAATAAATATGAAATAGTGTGATTTCAGAGAGGTTTAACACTTAAGCCTAATTGAAGACAACATTATGTTAACTGAGATGAGAAGTTTTGTATACTGACCACAAGAGAGAAGTAGGCTACATCCTGATAATTCAGTGGTGAGAATCTAATTGTTGTTTTTATTTATTATGTTGTCTATTTATCGAACTTCCATACCTCTTATATAATAATATATATTACGTATCAATTTACTAATGCTCGGACACACTCGGTCTCTCACAGAGCTTTTGTCCAGTTCGGCGCCTCATAGACAGTCGCTGTGTGTGTGTGATCGAGAGACGGAGTAACACTTTGTCACAGTGACGGAACGAATACACTGCGTGTTTTAAATAGCGTAAAAAAATAAATAAAGAATAACGAAACACATTATGTGGCGGCTGGTGTTGATTCTGTGAACTAGTCTATGTGTGGGAAACCCTGCTCTCTGTGTTTGATTATTAATGCCTGTGCTTCACGCGAGTTGGACACAATAGAGGAAAATGTTCAGTTCAGCCTCAATTTTGTATCGTCATTAGTAGGCCTGGTGTTAAAAGTTGTAAAGAGAGCCAAATTGAAAAAAACAATATAACTGCAAAATTTGAATTTATGAATATCAAAACGCTATTCTAGGTATCGCAAAATCCATACCATGGTGCAACATAGATACTGGTATAGCGCCCACCACTATATAGTGGACATAGTTAACAGCCCATCAAGTTTAAAGGAGTAGTTCACCTTTTAAAAAACTTTTGCTGATAATTTACTCACCCCCATGTCATTCAAGATGTCCATGTCTTTCTTTCTTCAGTCGAAAAGAAATTAAGGTTTTTGATGAAAACATTCCATCATTTTTCTCCATATAATGGACTTCAATGGGAACCAAACGGTTCAAGGTCCAAATGAGAGTTTCAGTGCAGCTTCAAAGGGCTTTAAACGACACCAGATGATGAATAAGGGTCTTATCAAGCTAAACGATCAGCCATTTAAAAAATAAATAAAAAAGTTTAAGTTTTATAAGCACAAATGCTCGCCTTGCTCTGTTCTGTGATGAGCGTTTGTGACTCACCTGTTTGAACTTGTTCATCAAAATGAACAAATCTTTTTTCAAGTCATGACACGAAATGTCCTAGATAAGACCCTTATTCATCGTCTGGTGTCGTTTAAAGTCCTTTGAAGCTGCACAGAAACGGTCTTTTGGACCTTGAACCGTTTGGACCCCATTGAAGTCCATTATATGGAGAAAATCCTGAAATGTTTTCATCAAAAACCTTCATTTCTTTTCGACCGAAGAAAGAAAGACGTGGACATCTTGGATGATATGGGGTGAGTAAATTATCAGCAAAAGTTTTTTTAAAAGTGAACTACTCCTTTAATGACTGTGTTTGCGTTGATCTGTGATATTCACCTGCTCATTGTCTTTGACCAGAGAACATTTGGCATCTCCGTCCATCTTTCCATCCGCTCTCAGAGCGTCCTGCAGGAAGCTTTTGACTTTAGACTCGGGTAACATCTCCGGCTCCCACAGCAGCTGATCTTCCTCTGCGTACACTGAACAACAAATCACGGGAAAACACATTCATTAGAGAGGAACTGTGACAGAACACTTCAAATGAACAATCAGTTCACTAAATCATCAGCATGTTATTCCAAATGATAAAAATGTTATCTTGCATCAAAATCTAATATTATTTACATCTCCAAAACCACTTACCCTTGCATAAAAATGCGGACGACAGATTTCTGTGACATTATAGCCTGACATTTTGAACCAATCAAATCTTGAGAATTCATTTTTAACGAATAAAATCAAGTCCCACTCCCAACCAATATTATTTTGCACAAAATACCGTTTCACTAACAACTAAAAAAGCGGAGCGGGCGTGTTACGGATACGTGGTGTAAATTTAATAATCAAAAAGTGTCTAATTGAAATCATGTATTACGAAATCAAACTAAACTTATACAAAAAATTTTTTTAATCTTTTTTTTTTTTTTAATTCACACAGTTTCTGTGTTTCTGTTTTTTCTGGTAATAAAATGAAGAGACAAAACACAAATTATCATTTATCATCGATTACAATATGAAATTAAACTTTTTGTCAAATAACGTGCTGAACAATAAGCTTTACTATTAAAATTAAAACAAGGAAGAAAAACTGATTATTCCTTAAATTAAGTTTTGATGATAATTTATTTGGATTAGTGTTGATAGTTTTTTCTCAAATAAAGCGGTTAAATGATCAAGAAGTGACTTTCAGAGTGGAGCTAGAGCCTGGAGAGGAACTTAATGCATTTGTGTCTTCATTTAGGCAAAAAAACAGCGCGAGCGACACACGTGATTCAGTGCGTGGTAAATAAAAACTGTGCGTCGGCGGCACCATTCATTCACACAGAACATGCAGAATTTGTATTTAAATAGTCTTTGTGGTTTAATATTCACACACACTAGTCTACATCGCAATTTGATTTCAAGTGTACTCACTGCTTTCTATTCATTCCTCAAAATAAACAAATTCCGTGAAATTCCGCGTTATACAGTAAATTTGGTTTTTATGACTGGATTGTCAGCATTTTAGGTCACCCCCCCCAAACAATGGTAGGGGAAACACTGTATATTTTTAATTATAAAATAGTTAAGCACTTTGTTTATGACCCGTTCTGACAGTGATTTTTATATTTCAGAATAAATAAGATAAGTTAACATTACAAATGGTATCTTTGCATTTATTTGGGATTTGTCAGTACTGGGCTTGCCGTTCACATGAGTAGGGTCTTTGTACTGTGTGTGGATGACCATGTTCATCCCAGGAAAAACACTGACTAAGACATACATGTACACGAGATGTTCATTGCGATTTCTGGTTTATGTAAACACTGCCCCAAATCTGTACCTTTTCCTCACTCACCTTTTTCCTGGTCATTGTAACAGGTAAGAGCAGGAATTTCTGCCTGGTATTCAAATCCCACCATGATCTCCTGTGAAAGTAACAAAGTTAATAAAGTATACACTTATCTTCAGCAGGTTCACACACAACCCACTTTTAACTGCAAACTCTGATTAAGACAGTAAAAAGCTACTTGGTACAGTAGACCAAGTACGTTTGACAAAGTTCTTCACCTTGCGAGAGTCTTCAGGGTTCACACCATCATCCTCTCCCTCAGATTCTTTATCTCCATCATAAACCACATTAGCTGGAAAAGAACAATCAAAAGTGAGCATCACAGAAAATTAAACACTCAAATTAAAACTGGAGAAAAGGCCACACTTTCATCAGTGATCTCAAACACACAAAAACAACATCTATGTGCTTACAGCGAAGAGTTCTGGGGAAGAAATCATTGGTTTCGTGTGACGTCACAGATGGTGTGAGGTCATCGGCAGAAGACTGTGTTTCTTCATCGTCTCCAGAGAGCAAATCTTTAGCGATTTCTTCCTGTTACGAGACAAAATTACATTAACAACGTCAAAGGAAGAAATAAAGCATTTAAAAAACAAACATATATATACACATATATATTTACTTTATCTAACGTCATGTCAGGCAGCTCATCGGTCAGCTCTACTGATGAGCTGTCCGCACTCGACCCTCCAACAGCACTGTCTGCTGCTTCATATCTGTATAACGCGAGCAGCTCTTCCAGCGGCATGTTCCCCTCCTGTGAGAAAGAGATTTGCTTTCAATGGTTTTTCGCAGAAAATCACTCATGCAACTACACAATGATGCAGAACACATGTATGATCACATCAGTACTGGTTCATTTTAACCGACATAATTATATGGATAAATGTACACAATTTGTGGTTTTTATAATGTTAGCATAGTTATAATTGTTACTTGCCACAATTAGGGATGCTAACGATTGATCAGCAATGGACTACTTGCACTAAGCTTCGCGACGCACTTCCGTTTAGAAACAATACATATCACTTATTTCCGGTTACGTTTACTTTCAATGTACTGCGGTCAAGGAGTTGAACAAACGCCACCTAAAATGAGTGTCTGTAATAAGATTTTATATTTTGGACATTTTTATTGACAGAAGAAGGGATATTCTGATGTTTACCGTGTGCAGAATTTTCAAAACTCATCAGAAGGTTAAGTTTAAATCCAAACCAAGCCAATACGAGAAAGCTGCGGCTGTTAAAAATACTCCATTATTTCACCACAGGGTGTCCATGTTCGTCTACACTAGTGACCGCGACGCTGAAACATCAGTACGAAACACGAACATTTATTTATTTGGATTAAATATTGTAATCAATAATCATTCAGTGTCGTTTTTCCAATGTCAATCGTTTTACTATTACATGTTCATGCCCAAAATGCTTAATTAATATTCAGAGAAGTTGACTGTCATTCTAGCTGCATGTGTTCTGATCGTAGGTAGGCACCTCGCGATCATTCATTCATTCATTAAACTATTTTAAAAAGGAATAAAGCACCAATGCACACTTTTTATTAGCCAAATTCATTTAAAAAAATGTAAACAAGTATAGAATATAAGTAGGCTAATACTGTTGTTAATGAGAAGACAGAAGAGACTGCAGGTTAGTGGATAAATATATTTAGCCTATTTATTATTCAGAATCGAACAGTTAGAAAGAAAATATATTTATAGGAACATTTCAGCAGGCTCAAGATAATTAATACATAGATCGTTATTCATTGTTTTAATCAATTGGTATCCATAAAATGTAGTGATAATCTGCATTCTCATGTATGGACGTGCGATGAACACTAACCGGAAACTCCGGTATGTAATGAGTAGAACGCGGAAGTTGTCCATCGATTATTTGTCGATAATTTAATTGATGAAATGCATCAATGGTCATCATGAGATGTAGTTTTGAGGTAGGGGTGTGCGATATGACGATTTTTAATCGTGGACGATTAAAATGTCTCCACGATCTGCTTTTGAAGAAATATCGTAGTATCGTGTTACAGTGCATTCTATCAGTTCAGTTCTGGCGCCTCCGTCTCTCAACTGTACAACGCGACGTAGCCTAGACATCACACGTTAATGAATAGGTACGGGACACTGCAATTCAAAAAAGTTCATTATTTGCATAAGCCTTGCCGGTTAAACATTTAATTCATGTGATAATGCGCTGTTCTAACGTGCGCTTTCCTGACCGCATACCCCCCGACGCTCACAGGCACTAGAAGCCTGTCAAACAGCGCCTGAATACTGGACTAAGTTATCTCTCGAGTCTTATTAAGCTAATACTGTTAAATACACACAATGTTTACAGGCTATGTCTAAAGTCAAAGCAAACATTTGAGAGAATATCTGGTGTAATATGCGTCTATATTAAACGCGTCGCGTGCTGGTCTAAAAGCGACAGGAATAAATATTACTGCCGCTTGTCCTTAAAGGGATAGTTCACAAAGAAAAAAAAATCCGTCATTATTTACTCACTCTAATGTTGTTCCAAACCTGTAGTAATTTCTTTCTTGTGCTGAACACAAAAGACAATTTTTTTAATGTGGGTAACCAAACAGTTGCTGGTCCCCATCAACTTCCAGGAGAGAACCTATAAAAAAAACTATAAGGGGACCAGCAACTGTTTATTTTCAACAGAAGAAAGAAACTTATTCGGGTTTAAAACATCTTGAGAGAGTAAATTAAGACAATTTTCCTTTTTGAGGGAACTATCCCTTTAGTGTTAATAAAACAAACAAACACAAGGAGAAAATCACTCACTGACTGAACTTTAATAGTAGCTTTAATAAGAATCAATAATTTATTCAGTGAAGTCTCTGTAGTGTTTTAATTTCATATTTGTTCATTTAATTACTTCAATGCTACTGCTAAATACACCTACTGCATCTAAAAAAATACCGCACTATTTATTTAATATGAATATTAATTTGTGTAATGTTTATCTTGTCTTATTTTTTTAATAACAAAGAAAATAATGACAAAGATTTTTATCTTCGCCTCTGGCCTAAATGTATGCCTTTCTTTTTTCTTTTGTTACCTAAGGCTTTGTTTTTAACATAGGGACATTAGTTTGGCTGTAATGAACAGCCACTTGCAAAATATTAAAACCAACTTGAAAAAGAATCGTGATAAAAAATCGTGATCGTGATTTTCCTAAAAAAATCGTGATGAGATTTTTTTTCAATGTCGCCCACCCCTATTTTGAGGTGCGAGCGGCTCACATGCAGTGGACACACTGTTACATACTCTAAATGTATTAATGGGTACGCCTCAATCAGATCCCGAGTTCAGAAGTCAGGGCACTGATGAAGTCTTACAATGCACTGTGAAAACCAGGGAGAAATCGATGCTCACTAGGGCTGGTAGAACGATGTCTAAAATTAGAATATAATTTGAATATTAAAAAAAAAAAAATCAATACTATTTAGGGCTGAAACGATTCCTCGAGTTACTCGATTGCAAAAATTCCTCAAGGCAAAAAATCTCCCTCAAAGCCTCGTTAAATTCCTATGACGCGCACGCAGGGATCTGGTTGTTTCACACGGACCGTTGTTCAGGAAGCACACCACAGCGCATGATACATTTGACTTCATGTGACCTCATAAACAGCAGAGAATGTCTGAAATTTGGGATCATTATATGTTTATAAAGGAAGAGAAAAAGATGCAATGTGTCTACTGCAAAGTATACCTGGCAGGGCTGCCAACTCTCATGCATTCACTGTGAGACTCGCGCAAATTGAGCAAATTCTCACGCCATACCCCCGATTTCTCAAGTGTCAATCCGGTCGGTCAAATGCCTGAAAGATGAGTTTGTCTATAGATCTACCTGTTGAGCAACTTGTGATCAACTAATTTTACCACCGCAAATTGAAATATCCTGTATCTAGTACGAGCGTGCATGCGAGATGTTGAGCTCCTAACTGCGCACGACGGCAGAGAGGTAACCTTGCGCATGCACCCATGTCTCTCTCACGCGCCAGTCAGATATTCATCATATATGCTTAAACTTTTATGTAGCCACACAACAAAAATTTTCAAGGTCCTGGACCTTGAAACTAAAGCCAAATGGCCTTTACCATTTAAATTTGTATTCAAAAAGTTTTACGTTATGGGCTACATGTTTTACAGTAAATTGATTTAACTGTATTGTTATATAATTGTTGGCACTGGAACTTATAAACACTAAATGGGTAAAAATTGCAATAAATAGGCTTAGTTTTGGAGCCAAATGTTGGAGTTGGAATAAATACCTCTAGTTTTTTAAAGAAATAAAAGCCAAACACCTATTATACATTATTTGTTTTGGTTGTTTAAAAACACGCACAAACAAATTACCCGATTAATCGATCTATTACGTGAAAAAAAAAAAGAATCGATAGCTGCAGCCCTAATACTATTCGAATATTGATTTTTTTATGTATATATTTTTTAATATGCAATCTTGCCTCTCACCACCATGGCTTACACACATGTGAAAATTAATTGCTTTTGTTTTCGTCTGATGAAAGATTTTGAATCGTAACACAATTGTGCACGTTATCCACGTTGATGATCATAAGAACACAGTCAAAAATGGTAAGTGAAGAGTTCAGATGCAAAAGCCTCTAAATGCCATTTGAAATTTTCTTCTAAAATTATCATTTTATCAAGCTTGTATATTTAAGTTCAGTAATTTCACTTAAATGACAATTAATAGGTAATCTTCATTGCCATTTAAATGAAATTACTGAACTTAAATATACACGCTTGATAAAAATGATCATTTTAGAAGAAAATTTCAAATGGCACTTAGAGGCTTTTGCATCTGAACTCTTAAAGTGTTTAATGAGGTAAAAAAACGCCCCCCAAAGTGCAAATATCTCGGCGAAAACTCAACGGATTTGGCGAGCACCTAACTCGTTGGAACAGTTTAGTCAAACTGAAAATAACGATATAAGTTTCTGAATTTTTGGTGCCGTTTTCGCGGAGATCTTAGCCAAAAAACATCGGAAGTGCTTCAACCACATTCAGCACGAATAAAATGTTTATTATGTTACAAAATGTTTATTATGTCCCTCTAGTGAACAGAACGTGTAACAACTACAACCAGCAATAGTGGCATTAGCGATCAATACGCCCGAGTAACGTCGTAAATATTAATACTAGGATGAATTTGAGCTTTTATTATTTGAATATTAAATAAAATAAAGAATGGAATTTTTATAGTATTATAGAGGAAGATTGACAGGCCTAATGCTCATGATGTTCTCTTAACGGAAGTTCTGAAGCGCGAAACTTAAATCACGTGAGCTAACTCGCTATATAATCACATGAGACATGTTTAAAAAAAAAAAAAACATATCGCTGGACAGATGAATGAACATAATATAGCTAACATTTATAATTTATTTAAGGCTGAAATGTTGCACGTATTTGTAACAAGCAAAGTATTTATCATAAAGTACTTTAAATAACATTACAAGTAACTCGTTCGAGATCACCTGCTCTACTAAGTAAAAACACACGACATGCTATGGTTCACGAATGTTCCGAAAAAGTTACAAACAAAAACGTGTTGCAAAAGCATCAAGTTTACACGTGCGATGGTGGCGCTTTTTCATTAAAAACTTGTAAAGTTTGTTCTCTAACTGAAACAAATATGCTTGCTGTACTCTGCTAGCTTAGACCTTTCAACGATATATGACAATGATTTTGCAGATCATATTTTCGTGTAAATCATTATTATTATTTTTCATGCCATGAAAATAGAAAGGCAGCAAAATTAAGTAATGGTCAAGTCATGCACAAGTTTAAATGACACCAATTCGGTTAAGCAACACAATAACGTGGTAGGTTAACGATTAATCCATTAATTGATCGCCGGAAATTTATTTTAATTGACATCCCTTCCCACAATATAAAAATGATCAGCTCTAAATGCGAGCGACGTGTGTTGGGCAAAAGATTGAAGGCAAACCTTTTCCAGATCGGCGATCTCTGAGCTCCCGCTTGACTCGCCATCCCTCATCTCCTCTTCCTCTAATGTACGTTCATCATCATAATCGTGCACCAGCATGTCTGCCGTCGGGTCAAAATCATGATCTTCCGATGACAAAGAGCCAACTGTAAAGATCAAATTAATCCATGGTTATTAAATGCAAATATGAAATATTATTACATACATTTCAAAAATGTTATTTAACCCAATTATACATTTATATTACCTGCATATATACACAAAAAATATTTTTATTAATAATATATAATTTGTAAGTAAACATTATTAAATAGATTTAGAGAACAAATTACCTGGGCTTGTACTTCCCAAGGAAGCCTGAAATTACAATGAGAAAATGTCAGGTTTGGGGAATTTACAGCATTATGAAGAACACTGGTTAACTTCCCTTAATAATATGTTACTATAGTAACCATAATTTCCACCAAATTACAATAGCTACAATTATTATTACTGTTGCAAACCCATATTAAAAAGGCTTTATATGGGATTTACTTAAAATTGAGCAAAAGGTTTTCAAAGTCTTTCAGTTTTTTTTTTGTCCTGATGACAGTGAAGCTAAAAAACTACCACAATATAAGTATGGTCACACACACTGTAAACTATAGTAACAGTAATCGTTTGAATATAATATTGGGATGAATGTAATTCATATATGAATAATGATAGCCTGCTCTGCACAGACCATGAAGATTAATAAAAAATAGATATATATATTGGCCAAACGTCACTGAATACAAAAAAATATATATGAATGGATAAAAATCATTTCATAAATTCAATTAAAATAAAACAGTTGATTACTCATTTGTACTTTTTAAATCCGCAGTTGAGTTTACATTAGAAAAATATACAGAGTTCATGGTGGTCACTAACAAGCCAAATAAATAGGTAATATTTATTCAGGTCTTCTGGGTCTCTTAAACAAAATACAGCCATGTTGAATAATAAAATTATTACATATTTTATTTTAAAATTAAACAAACAAAAAAAATGTTTTGATGTCTCCACTTCACAGCATCAATTCGGTAGTGCAGCAATAGGGGAAAAAATCACTCTCAATTACTCCATGAATCACACAGAAAGAATACAGACGAAACAAACGGCAATAATAAAGACGTCAAAATATTTTTAAAAGCGCAAAATAACAGGAAAAAAAGAATTTTCAGTACTAACTAACCATCGCATCGCGCTCGACGCTACTCGCAGCTCCGCTCAGTCAGATCTGACGCCCGCTCTGAACGCTCGACGCTAAAAGAGGCCGATCGACGTTGAAAACACTCGTTTTGACGGCCAATATCGCACGTATCTCCGTCAAACCAAGCTCTATCCAAAGATGAGGCATAATCACACGTAATCAGATATAGAAATCCCAAACTAATGTACTGTGGTAAAAGAAATAAGCGACAAAAATATGACGCCTTCCCCCAATTTTTCAACTTACCTCCGCCATCTTGGTACCTTTCGACTCTAAACTGGCTTTACGACGGAGCCCGGATTGACGTTGCAAACCAATCGCGATTGACTATTTCTGCAGGTTGGCTCTGATTGGCTGACGCGTTTAATACGCACGACGAGCAGGGCACAGGATTGGCTGCTAGGAGCGAGCTTGATTGACGTCGAAATACTGTATTCCAAATGAGTTTCATTACCTGAGCATTCATTAGGATGTTTTAAAAATACGCTAAATAAGTTGTGTTAAATGAATTTTTTATTATTTTAAAAATATATCGGATGAACTGACTGTTTTTTGTTACAGATTTTATATCATTATATATTATTCTAAGTTGGCAAATTGGCATAAAGATGTTACTCCAAGGATTTTACTTCAATGAAAGATCGATTTAGTCTATTTGGAAACAAATATCTAGGAAAGTATATTTATTTGAATGCATATAGGTCATGCATATCTTTATAATTCTGCATCATACACCTGTTTCATATTAATATAGAGCAGATGGTGGCGCTAGTTGCATGTTAAACACAGTTTGTAAACTTATGCATCGAGTCAGTGTTGAAGACAGTGTGATACATTTCATTTCATTTTCATTTATTTATTTATTTCAACAGGGACAATGTGCAAAAAAACATTAATTAAAGATGCTTTGCACCAGATTTAGCTTAAGCTAGTTTCCATCTGTAGTCCCCGAGCAGGTGAATTACAATACAAAATATACAATATAAAATGTTATAATTAGTCACTCAGAGAAAGAAAATTTACCATTTTCTTTTTTAAATTCTGTGAATGTAATATACATTTCCCCATTAGAGTTTATGCTGCACATAAGTCCGATTTTTACATCCCAACTTATTTTATATAACTTACTTTATATGAAACAACATACAGTTTAATTAGATTGTCATATATGGACTTTCTAAATCTTTTAATGGAAGTTTAAATTCAGTCTACTCTGAGTGACACGTTGGCTTGAAGTTCAACTAATCCCAGAAAGTGTAACGTCGCTTTCTGTCTGTGTAATCCAAAGCATCACCTGTCAAGTCACCTGTACAGGTGAAACAAGATTGGCCAACACAAGAACAAGAAGGTTGAGTTGTCATTTGTCAGGGAAGGCTTCACTCTGACAGCATGCACTGGAGATGTAAGTTATCTCAAGTGAGTGGATTTTTACCTCACTAAATGTGTGAAGATTCAGTGCACATTAGGAGGAAAATCAGGTTTAAATGCAGAATTCCCAACTTTCAACTGACTTTCATCGGACGACACTGCAGAAATGGAGATTGAATCAATGGTTGCAAACAGCGCACTCATAAGAGCACGAGAAGGTAAGAATATTTATTCACCTGTTAAAATGTGATAAAAATGGATTTTGAAGAGAAAACTAAAACATTCAAACAGTAAATAAAATACTGTTGTCATATCATGTGCTGAGATAAAACATTTTTAATGTGTTTTAACAGATTTTAGGAAAGGGTTGTTTTGATTGTTCACAACAAAAGTACAAAATTAAATGAAACTGATTCAAACCTCAGACTGAAACATTTTATGGGTAGTTGAAATGCTTTTTAGTAGCTGACATGTCAATAATTTTGAACAGTATTTTGTTGATATTTTAAAACTATTATGCTTTTATGAGAGTCTAAGCAATATAAGTATACTTTTAAAAACGTATTTCACTCTGCAGTTAATTTAATATGAATGAGTGAAGACAAAATAGTGATAAAAAACTCACATACTAGATCTTTGAACCTAATTTGATCCTAAAATCTTGATGTTTGTTTTAAAAAACTCTAGATATACATGTCAACTTAAGTATATTATATGCTTAAGACTACAATATCAAAACACGTTTTAATATTCACTTTAGTTCTCTGTAGTGGCTGTGAGGTAAAGAAACAGCTCATTCAACATATTTGTCCTGCACCTCTAACCTGAAATACTCTGACCTCAAAACAAAACCAGACACACAAAGCCTTTGACATCATACGGGCCTTGCATCACAAACCGGTCTGACTTCTTTTGCTGCGGTTAACAGCCTGTCAGCAGTACCTGCTATTCCACTATTCTGAGCTCTAAAAATAGCTTCAGTTGCTGTTGTTTTGTCAACTTTTTTAAGTGTTTGCAGCACTAACTGCCCAAGTGAGCCCAATAAGACTTTCTAGCATTATTATGAAGTTATACTTTTGCATGTTGTGTTTTTGTTTTCTGAATAGTACAGGTGTGGCGTCTCAAATCTGATCTTTGTCATCACTTAGAGCTTCATTCCTATGCTATTTTTAGAGCGGGCTAATATAGTAGGGGATGCCATGGATTCTCTGCAGTTTTACTGTCAACAAACCGTCATTCAAACAAAACATACGCTTACACAATACACAAATGTGATTAATAAAGCATCTATTTTTAAACACACACATTTCTCATACCTGCATTGCATGTCTAACCTTTTGTCAACATAACCTTGATAGAATAATAAACATAAATCCTTTTAGTCCTGCTGTGTTAGACTTAATGAGCAGCATCAATAGTCATCAAAAGCATTTTTTTTTTTTGATTTCTTAAAGGAGTACTTAAAGGAGTAGTTAACTTTTGTTGATAATTTACTCACCCAAGATGTCCATGTCTTTCTTTCTTCAGTCGAAAAGAAATGAAGGTTTTTGATGAAAACATTCCAGGATTTTCTTCATATAATGGACTTCAATGGGAACCAAACGGTTCAAGATCCAAATGGGAGTTTCAGTGCAGCTTCAAAGGCTTAAACGACACCAGGCGATGAATAAGGGTCTTATCAAGCGAAAAGATTGGTCATTTAAAAAATAAGTTAAAAAATGTAAGTTTTATAAGCACAAATGGTCGCCTTGCTCTGTTCTGTGATGCGCGTTCTTGACTCTCTTGTTCGAACTCGTTCATCAAAATGAACAAATCTTTTTTCAAGTTATTTCGTTCATTTCGTTCGTTGAATGAACCAAATGACGCGAAAAAAGATTTGTTTGTTGTGATGAACGAGTTCGAACAGGAGAGTCACGTACGCGCATCACAGAACAGAGCAAGGCAAACATTTGAGCTTATAAAACGTAAACTTTATTATTATTATTATTATTTTATTTTATTTATTTTTGAAATGAGTGATCGTTTTGCTTGATAAGACCCTTATTCATCGTCTGGTGTCGTTTAAACCGCATTGAAGCTGCACTGAAACTCTCATTTGGACCTTGAACCGTTTGGACCCCATTGAAGTCCATTATATGGATAAAAATCCTGGAATGTTTTCATCAAAAACCTTAATTTCTTTTCGACTGAAGAAAGAAAGACATGGACATCTTGGATGACATGGGGGTGAGTAAATTATCAGCAATTTTTTTTTTTAAGTGAACAACTCCTTTAAATGAGATTAAATGGATATATTCCTACATAAACACAATTATTAAATCCTTGTTTAATTTTTTAATTCCATGAAAACACAATTCATGTGTCATTTCATCCAAAATATCCTGTTTCAATAATAACAATAATTTCTGAATGGACAATCATGCATTTCTGAACTTGATGGTTAATTCATTTTTGAGTTCTTTAAAACACCAGAATCAGGTTTTCATATTAGGCTCTTTTGGTTTAAACAGATTTTCTCTTTCTTCCATCGTGCAGTAGGTAATGGTGCAAACCGCAAAGGAAGGAGTCGAAAATGGAAGGAATTTCTGCGTTTTCCACACATAAACGAGTGCACAGATTTGGAGAGTAGCATTGGTGAGTAGGACAAAAGTTGGGGAATTGCTTTTTAAAATATATCAATTGTGGACTTCAAACACAGCAAATATGTCAATATTAGAAATGAATGGAAAGATAATATCCTCTCGTCATTTAA